CACACACACACACACACACTCGAAACGCGCGCGCACACGCATACATAGTTTATCTTCATGTACGTGTTTTTGAGCCTCCGTCGTCATATTTTAGATCATTTTGGAGGCAGGCTTCAATACTGCCCGTCAGGGGTAAACAGGACTAGGAAGGATACAACCTCCCAGAAAAAATATTAAGGTACAAATTAGTATTCGATTTAAGTTCTTTCCAGGCAAGAATTGAAGTTGGTTCTTCTAGCAGTGTGTAACGACGAAAAGCGTCTAACCTCTAAACCACAGAGGTCGAAGTCTCGCATTTCATTGTTACGTGCTTCAAGATAGTGAAACAGAAGACAGAGACAGGAGAACACCCATGTCGGTTGTGGGTCAGAGAGGCATTGACGGTACAATGTTTGTTAATAGCCCCCCCCCCCCCCCCCCCACACACACACACACACACTGTGTATAGTAGAAGTAAGATCGTCAAAGTACATCTGCCGCGCGACTTTTGGTAGTTCATGGACTAATGTTCATGTGAAGTTAGTTCACAGTTCGCATGAAGAGCATAATATGCACGACACACGATATGTTTCATGACATTTCTGGCTTTGGGCATATTTGATACAATCGTCATTGAAACCATTAAAACGTCCTCTTTAAACTAGGAAAAATTGGCAGAGAATCAGTTCTGCACAATACAAAACAAGCTTGTACATGAATACATTCGTCCACACAGCCACACTGCAGTGAACACGTTGTATTGTGTATGTGGTGGAAGGCGCATGTTGTTAGCCTGAGATAGTTTCTAACTCATTACCTTTTATAGCCATGCCTAGGCAGATTCCCAGGTAGATCTATTCTGTTTCGGTTTTGCTTTTTGTTTGTTTGTTTGTTTGTTTGTTTGTTAGACAAAAGAGAAGCAGATCGATTCAATAATGGTCATTTAGTCCTGGAACAAAGTAAAGACGTAGAACCTACCAATGGCATCCTCCAATCATGTATCTTTATTACGGACATAGTCATACAAAAAAAAACTTTGATGATAAAAACAAAACGTGTGTTGGACTAGGGAAAACTAGACAGACGACGCATCCCTACCGAAAACCATAAGATACTGGCTGTCAGTCGAATTTCAATACTTGTATAAAAGAGCTTTTATAAAAAAGTTACCTTCCGTTCTTTTTTTTCTCTATCTGATAACTGTAATTACAATATTTACTAATTTTTCTAACTTTTAAAGCTCTATTCTGAAATACCTTTCTCAATATTGAGGAACAGACCAAGGGTAGACAAAGAAAATCAACATAGCCCCCCACGCATAAAAATTGAAAAACTGTTGGACAGTCATCAGCGCAAACCATAAAGCCTTCCTTCTAGGCTACATCAGCAGTTTGAAAACACCCACAATGACAAGGTGGACTAAAAGATAAGTGAAAATATTCTGGTTTTTCTTCATTTCGACCCGTGGCGTTTCTTTCATAACAACATGGCTAAAATTAGTCAAAATATTCCGAAGCGCCAATGCATGCAATGCCAAACAAACATGCCTTATGTCAAAAGGCTTTAAGGCGTTCACACATGCACACCGCGACACAGATTCAGTCGAGCATGCAGCCTCGTCTGGCAAAGTTATGTAGTGCTGACACGTGCGTGCTGCATCAGAAATGTTAACGAATTTTGCAGCTGTGACACTGAAGATTGCTGCGCAAGTGCGCAAGTGTTTATCTTTAGGGACAAAATAACTTGGAGAATATCTTTTTTTTCAAAAAGTTTGTCAGATCACGAGTTGTAATGAAAGCTTTGGACAAAAATGATTTAATGTGTGGCATCCAGGTGAATAAATCAAGAAATCGTCCATCCCATAAAAAAAAATGAAATTCAAAAAAAAGTTCTATCAAACTGGCGTTGTTTCGTTTTGTTTTGTTCGTTTGATCGGGGTTTTTTATGGCTTAACATCTTTCATGTCCTTTTTAACGCCCTGGATTTTGTGAAGAAAACGTTGATCAAAAGGCACGTGATAAAATTGCAGTTTTCAAGGACACTTAAGTATTGAAAGATACCAAATTTTTGTGGCCATTTTCCCTGGTGCTTTTTACACCTTACATCAGGTGACTCCACCAACTCCATTCCGGGGGGCTCTCGTGACCTAGAGGTTAAGGTGTTGGCCTCTCATTCAAAGGTCCCGGGTTCGATTCCGGGTAGCGACCAAAACATTTTCTTCTCTAAAATTGTCTCCTTTCACATCCTTTCCTGATCTCTAACAATGTTCTGTTGTCTGCTTTCCTTTCCACTTTCTACCCCCACCCCCTCACCTCCTTTACCCCCTCATCTGGGCTCCTGGCTCTTTCTGCAGCCTTTCTACTGCTACTCCTTGGCTCCTCCTAACTGCTGTCTTTCTGCCACACCCCTGATCTTCTGGTAGGAAAGATCTACACCTAGCCTTCTCGGACAAGGGCGAAAGATCCTTTGGTGGTCTAAAATTGATAAGAGTAGGCTTCGGCCGCCACCCGGGCAAAAAAAA